GATAGATGATCGTCGATGACTGCGGCTAACTTCGCCGTAGTACGTTGAACTGCTCGGTGGTAGCTCTCCTTAATTCGAAGGTTGTAGCTACTGAATATATCTCTCGCTACTGACAACAATCAAGGATCGCTGAAGAGGTTCAGCGATCTGTAAACTATCTATACTACTCCTCTCTTCTCGTAGAATGTCCCTCAACTCCTGCACTGCCTCACGCTCAGTCCTCTTCGTTCAACTTCGCCGTACCTTCCCCTGTTCTGCTCTCCCTCGGTTCCCTTCCCCTAACTTCGCCGTAGTTCCCCGCTAGGCGGGGTTATCGTGACAAATCCCCTCTTGGTTCTCGTAACTTAGCCGTAGTTGGCCTCAGTGGTTCGAGTGGAGGTTGGTAGTGGTGAAAAGGAAGGTCGGTGATGGTGAAAGGAGGGTCGGTGATGGCGGTTGTCAGGGATGTTACGACGTAGTTCGTGACATTAATGCTTAGCTACTTGCGTATTCTGGTAGAGGAGGATCCTGCAGATATCTTGGTAGGATTTGACCCCCATGCATGCAGACATGTTGAAGATAAGTGAACCACAATCTCCCACACCAATTTTCCCAGCCAAATTACTAGGAAGAGGCGGCGCATGACTTTTTGGACCCGACTGTAGCTCACCCATGGGCACCACCCCGGGCACCACCTTCAAAACAGGAACCTAATGGGTTAACATAATGGATCAGAAGAATAAGAGTATTTGTGGTAAACCACATACTAATATTGTTACAGGGTAACAATGATTCGAGGGAAGTTGTCATGCCCGTCAAATAACTTCTCTCGAACAGACCAAAGGTTGACGAACCTCAGCTAACTTGACACTTCGGCTTCCATGTCTCACCCAAACGGGAGGGTGCAGATGTTGAAAGGGGTGTAACTACGGCGTACTTTGGCGTAGTTACTCCAACTAGGGTTCTCACTGATGGTGTCACGAACTACGTCGTGACACCTCGATTACTCCACCAACAATGACCCTCCTTTGGCCATCAAAACCCCATCACGCCTTAACCTCTTTACTCTACACGTAACTCAGGACTTCTGACACCAAGTACGGCGAAGCTAGACAGAGTTAGGCTAAGTAGGGACAATGGGAGCAGAAGTACGGCGAAGTTAGACGGAGTTAGGCTAAGTAGGGACAATGGGAGCAGAAGTACGGCGAAGTTAGACGGAGTTAGGCTAAGTAGGGACAATGGGAGCAGAAGTACGGCGAAGTTAGACGGGGTTAGGCTAAGTAGGGACAATGGGAGCAGAAGTGCGGCGATGTTAGGCGGAGTTAGTCGAAGGAGGAAGAGGATGGCCGAGGGCTCGGGGAAGTTGGACGAAGTACGTCGAAGTACGTCAAAGCGCGAGAGGGTTGGGTGAACGTCTAGGAGGAGTAGATAATATTAGCTGAGAAGATCGCTGAAGTTCTTCAGCGATCCTTGATTGTTGTCAGTAGTGAAAGACAGATAGAGATAGCTATATACAAATCAAGATACATCGCCATCAGTAGAACAAAACCCCAGTTAGAGTTACTACGCCGAAGTACGCCGTAGTTACACTCCTTTCGACGTCTGCGCCCTCCCGGTTGGGTGAGACATCGATTCAGAAGCGTCAAGTTAGCCGAGGTTCGTCGACCGTCGGTCTGCCAGAAGGTAGTTGTTCGACGGCCGTGACAGATGGTGATGTATCTCAATTTGAATGTAGCTATCTCTATCAATCTTTCACTACTGAAAACAATCAAGGATCACTTGTCACGGCCGTTGACTAATTTCTCTCTAATAGACCGACGGTCGATGAACCTTGGCTGACTTGGGTCTTTGGCTTCGATGTCTCACCCAAACAAAAGGGTGCAGATGTTGAAAGGGGGTGTAACTTGTCACAAACATCGTGTCATAAATCACACCATCACGTGTTCCTTGTTGCGCAAAACAAGTTCAACCTCCACTTTCGTGTTTTAATATCTCACCTCTGCTCTCATGCCTATCAGGCATAAACTCCAAGTATCATGTTAGTATGTCGGTGCTTAGCTCCCATGCCTGCAAGGCATAAGTCCCCAGTAATTCTCTAGTCTCTAGTCCCTCTGTTCTCATGCCTGCTAAGGCATAATCTCTCAGTCTCTTGTTCTCGCAGCACTTCTATGTTCTGCATAGTTCCTCATCGACCACCTTTGACAAAGTCGAGCGACTTCCGGCGCATCCCGTAGGATGTCATAGTAGGACGTAGGTAAACGCAGATATGGCATCGTAGGATATCAGTGGTTATCGGTGGGATGCAAGGCAATGCATGCAGGACAGTGCAGGACGGTTCAGGACGCTCGTATTCCGCAGGTCTGCACGAGCCTCTTGGAAAAGGCTGATTTGTCTATATAAACCCTATCTTGTACTTTGTAGTCTTCTTTAGTTCTTGATCAAAAGTCATTTCCATTGCCACCCTTTTGGAGTCCAGTCCAGTCCAGTTCCCTCTAACCTTGTAAGACAAGCCAGAGACATTCCTTGGGTCACAGTCCCATTCCTTGTTGGACTCAGTCTTGTTAACTTAAGTATATTCCTTGTCACTCCTAGTCCTTGTCCCCTTGTCCTTTGTCCTCTGTCCCAGGGTGGGCAGTATCCTTGACACATCGGTTCTTCTTCTCTACTGACCGACGGTCGACAAACCTTGGCTAACTACGTTGTCATGGGGCGTCTATGTTTCACTGAGACAGGGTACTCGACGGGTAACTACGGCTAACTACGCCGTGGTGGTACGTCGAGAGGTAAACGATAAGGAGAGCGTCAATGAACTGCGGCTAACTTTGCCGTAGTGCGTCGAACTGCTCGGTGGTAGCTCTCCTTAACCTGACGGTTGTAGCTACTGAATATATCTCTCGCTACTGACAACAATCAAGGATCGCTGAAGAAGTTCAGCGATCTGTAAACTATCTATACTACTCCTCTCTTCTCATAGAACGTCCCTCAACTCCTGCACTGCCTCACGCTCAGTCCTCTTCGTTCAACTTCGCCGTACCTCGCCATATCCCCAATATCCTACTCCGCTCACTTTGACTAACTTCGCCTAACTTCCCCTGTTCTGCTCTCCCTCGGTTCCCTTGCCCTAACTTCGCCGTAGTTCTCCGCTAGGCGGGGTTATCGTGACAAATCCCCTCTTGGTTCTCCTAACTTCGCCGTAGTTGGTCTCAGTGGTTCGAGTGGAGGTTGGTGGTGGTGAAAGGAAGGTCGGTGATGGTGAAAGGTGGGTCGGTGATGGTGGTTGTCAGGGATGTTACGACGTAGTTCGTGACACCCGGGTGGATGGAAGTCGAGAGTGGGTTAGTCTCATTGCTTGCATTTGTGCCGATGGTACTGCTCTCAATCCAGCCATTATCTTTCAGGGAATGATTGTGGGAGAGGACTGGATGTCGGAACTATCAGAGGAGGAAAAGTATTGGGTCACAGTGTCAGAAAAGGGATGGACTTCGCAAGAAATAGGACTTAGATGGCTGGAGGATGTTTTTCATCCAGCAACACAAGCCAGGCCGGGTCAAAGACGACGACTACTCATCTTAGATGGACATTCAAGCCATGTCAACTATGACTTTATCACCCGATGTGATTCCCTTCGGATTGATCTCCTCATTCTTCCACCACATTCAACTCACTGTCTTCAACTGTTACGGGGTAACAACGAATCGAGAGGACTCTATCGAGTTCGACGGATTAGGACAGAGGAAAGCGGGAGTTGGAGGCAGTGCTGCAGTAGGTAGGGACGGGTTTTCCCCTTTCGAGATTTCCCCACTGGGTTTGCTCAAAGCGGTTTTTCACCTGTCCGAGTATGTACGTACGTAGACGCTTGCAGCAGGAAGAGGACAAAGGGCGAGGATATCCGTAGACAGTATATAGTACAATCAGCAAAGTACCAACTTTGCTGATTCTTCAATATCATTCTTTGGCTACATCGATTGCAGAGGAGACACGATCCATTAGCACCAGAGCCCCTAGACTTCCACGAGACCTCCATCGAGTTCGACCCAACCTGCGACCTAGTCGTCGTGTTTCCAGTACCGTTACAAGTTGAAGAATCAGCCTTACGCACCTTGGGTCGAATCGGAGAGTACTGTATGCTCACCAGAGGGAAAGCGCGGAAAATGATACCAGAAAAAGAGGAGTTGGAACAAGGGCTGGTCCCAGAGGAAGAAATACCAACAAGTTCTTCGAGAAGTACCATTTCACATGATCTCACTTCTACTACCACTACCCCAGATCCGCTAAATGAATTATCGCAGCAGTTGTCACAATTGTTAGCCATTATGACGATGCAACAAAAGGAACAAAATGCATTAAGGGAAGAACTGGCTACGATGAAAGCTGACCGACAGAACCAACAGATACTCACATCGAAAGGGGCAAGTTTGATCGAAGTCGAAGAAAACAAGCCGTGTTTGGAGCCAAAACTTACCAACAACGAACGAACAGGAAGAACCAGGTGTGCGGATCCACCTACCTTCAGTGGAGAACGAGGAGAATTGGACAACTTCCTTGCAGCATGTCACATGAACTTCGAATTCAAAGGGGCAGAGTACGCCACCGATCGCAGAAAGATCCTGTTCATGTACGGGTATCTTCGAGGCACCCCTCAAATGCTTATAACCCCGGCCATAACCAATCCAAGTATATGGAATTCGACCGAATGGCTAGAGAGCTACGACAAATTCATCCAGCATTTACGAACTCAATTTGGAGACAGTAACATGGCAGGTACGGCTATGAGGAAATTGCAGGAGTTAAGACAGACGGATACGGCCGCCGAGTATTTTGCCAACTTTGAACTTTGGTCCACACACCTTGGAAAGGTACCCGATGCCATGAAAATCGCCTCAGCCATACAGGGCCTGAAGGAAGAGCTACTGAAAGTGGTAGTGGTAAATAACACCGATCCTCGAACCAAATCGGACTGGATCTATTTCAAACAACATGTGATAGGGACTGAGGAGAACCAACGGATGGCTGAAACGATGATTGCGGCGAATCGATGGGCTGCTAGACGCAAACATGAGACGACCTGGCTTCCCCCTCGATCGAATTCGATACGATTGGATACTAGTCCGCCCAACCCGGTAGAACGCCACTCACAATCGACTGGTAGAGGACCCTTGCCTGGTGGAAAACCAGGGATGATGAATTATGGTCTACCAAATGACCCTCCGGTCACTTGGACAGAGGACGGAGGACGTCTCAGCGAGAACGAAATGACTTGGAGGAGGGAGAACCGACGTTGTCTCAAATGTAGAAGTCCAGAACATTATGCCAACAACTGTCCGAATGGAGGAAACACGAGAAACAGTATTAGGGGATCCCCAAATCCGCATAACTCACCGATTCCTAGTGGATCGAATTCGATCCCAACTGGATCCAAAGGGCCATTAGTTCGAGGAATGGCGGTGACCTTTGAAGAAGAGGGAAACGACTACTGGCTAAGTGATGCGACCACTTGCGGCCAGGATCTGCCCGGATCGCAGAGAATTCAAATACCAATAGATCTCAGTAATGACTCGGCCATAATATATATAAAAATACAAACAAAGAAAGATACCCTACAGATTGGAATGTTAATCGATACCGGGGCTACAGGAAGGTATGTGCAGCCGGCCTGTCCATTATACCATCTGTTCCCAAAGAAACAATATCAGGTACCACGTAAAATTAGGTTCCTGGATGGAACTACCGCGACCTTAGTGACCGAATATGTAGAAGCAGAATTAGATCTAGGAAAAGGACTCAGGATTGCAACTCGACTGGATGTTATGGCGTACGAAGGACCAGAAGTACTAGTAGGACTAGATTTCTTAAGACAGTTTAGGGCAAGGATCGATTGTGGAAAGGGACTGATCGAATTCGACGGAATTGGACGAGATACTGGTTGGAAATACCCAAGATTAGAAGAAGGATTAATAAGAGGAGCAACACTGGAGAAAGGGGAGGACGAAATGAGTGAGGAGGAACTACGACAAATCATACCGACACAATGGCACCAGTACCTCGAATTATTCAAGGTAGAAAGAGCAAGAAGACTACCACCAAGAAGAGAATGTGACCACGAAATCGAATTAGTAGCAGGGGCTGAACTGAAACCAGGACCAATTTACCAACTGGACGAGCATGGGGATGCTTCCTGAAGCAGTG